GCAGGATTGCCTCTGCTTTCGGCTCCCCCCCCTGCTTCAGGCTCTGGTTTTCTCTGCTTTCTTCCCCCCTCCCCAGCTCCTCCTGGGCATGAGGGGATTTGGGATTTGGGATGGGAGGAAATTGGAGATGTGCCTGGCAATTCCCAGGGCCGCAGGTCAGGTTTTGCATGCGAAACGGAGGGGTTTTGGTGGCTGCGTCCAGCCGTGGTTGGCTTTTCCTACGGGTGCGGCCTGCTCTGCTTGCACCCAGACACCCCGTGGGTGCTGCTTGGGGCAAAACCCATTAATTTAGGGGAAAAAAAACCCTCCTGTGTGCCCATCTCCTGTTCATCAGGGTCACCGGATGGAAATCCCCGGTGCCGAGGGCTGCCCGTGCTGCATGGCCACAACCTCGGCTGAACCCGTGGGGAAAGCACCACGAACAGGTTGAATTTTATTATTTTTTTAAGGGAATGTTTTAGCCACTCTTCCCAGCCATCCCGTACCCATTACAAGCTGCAAAAAAAAAAAAAAGAGAAATAAGCAGCCACGCTGTCCTGTGTGTGCAGGAGGGTGAGCACTCATGGGATAAGGCATGCCCAAAAAACCACCCTGCCTCCGAAGCCCCAAAATCACGAAAGCTGAGACCAAAACCCACCCCATGGAGCGATCACGGCACCACTTTCGGGCACCTCCTGTCTCTGCAGGGTAGCACCAGCTCTGCCCAGCAGCAGGTTTTACTGTGGGATGTTTATTCCTAAGAACCCCCCCGTCCCCGATTCCCCCAGCTCCGTGTTCAGGGCTCAGCCGTGGCTTCTTAGAGCACCTGGGGCCCGGGGATGCACCCGCACAATCGGGTTTTTTGGGGGATTTCTGAAATCTGGGGCCTCCCCACCACACCGCCCAAATTTTCTGAATGTTATCAGTGCCTTTGCCAGGGGAGTGCCTGGATCTGTGGGCGCTGAGGGTTGAGCAGCAGGGACGGAGCTGTTTTGGGGTTCTCCGTGCCCCCCGTTGGCTGCTCGGGCAGCCTCACATGGAATTTAACCCCGAATTCCTCCCCCAGAGGTGTTTTCCCATCAAACGAACAAAATAAATAACCCTGCCCCCAATAAATATTAATGGCAATCAATTATTCAGACGCGCTGGCCCCGGTCACGGCGCCGTGCCCCCCCCCTCCGGCCCCCGTCAAAGCACGGCACCTCCGGCTCGCTCTGCTTTTGTCTCATTTTCCTTTTTATTGGTACATTGCAGAAATAGCCCTGTGTAGTGGAGGAGAAGTGCACCATACACGATATTTAAGAAAAGGAGGAAAGGAAACCTGGCTTGAGGTCTGTCATTCAGAGTCGCAAACAGAAAACAATAAAATAGGCCCTCGCACGAGAGGTGCTTGTTTTTTTTTTTTTCCTTTTTTTTTTTTTTTTTTTGCATGTCATGCAAAAGAGTTAAAAAGAAAGACTAGAAAAGAGAAGTCAAAGAAACCCCACGAGAGACCGACAGAGGCGTAGGAGCCGAGCGAAGCCCCGGCGCTGCCCGCGAGAGCGCAAAGCCCGGGCAGGAAACGCGGCTCCCCGGCACCCAGCGTTTGGCACTCTTGTGATGATTACATCCATCAGGTTAATTTTTGATCGATTTTTTTTTTTTAATACAGTCCATTGAAGAGAAGAAACTGCCACAAGATAAGAAAAAAAAAATTACCCACACTACAGACTGCATGGTTGTTAAAAAGGCCGAGCATCCCCCCCCCGTACATATAAAATCTCCGTCTGCACAGAGCCGTTTGCTCACAGCAACCAAGAAGTGCAAGCTTTAAAAAATAAAACCACGATTCTCCCTCCAGTCCGCTCCTTTATAAAAGTTGTGTTTTGTTTTGTTCCCCCCCCCCCCCCCACGCCACGCATTCCATTGCGAACCTTAAAACGCGACCGAAATATAGATATCTATATATATTTTATATCATTTCCCAACATCGAAAGACACCAACGGAAAAAAAAATAAAAAAATAATAATAATAAAATAAAAAATAAAACCCAAAACGAAATCGAAGAACAGAACCAGTAGCACGGTACCTCCAAGTGCACGGATTCATTTTTGCAAGGTTAACTCGTGTAAACAAGGCGCCCGCTCGGCGCCACCCCAGGGTCCGAGCCCCGGCGCTGCGCTCGCCGTCCCCGGCGCAGGAACCCCGCAGCGCCTCCGTCCCTCGCGAGCCTTCGTGGACGTGGCTGGGGGGGGGATTTTGGAGCAGGTTTTATTCTTTTTTTTTTTCCCCAATTATTATTAATTTTTTTTTTTTTTTGGATGTGATTTTGCACCTGCCGGGGATCCTGTGCTGTCCTGTCGCCCGCATCCCCTGCGCGGCGTGCTGGCGGTGACGGCGCTCCGAGCCCGGCGCGTTGCTTCTCCCGGTGCTTTTTTTTTGTTTTTAGTTAATTTTTGCCCAAAACCTGGGATATTGGAAACCGCCCCCCCAGCCCCTGGTTTTCACCGAACGTCCCCGGAGAGGTATTAAACCCCGGGAGGGGCCTTTTCGGAGAGGTTTTGCAGCACGTCATCGATCCGATCGTCTTCGATAACCACTGGAAAGCAGGAAAAAAAAATATAAAGAAAGGGAAAAAAAAAAAATGAAAACAAAAGCGGGGCTGGGAATGCGGCAGAGCCCGGCGGGGAGACGGTACCGGGGGGGGGGATGCGGATGGTGCTGAGGGTGGGGGACACGGTGCTGGGGGGGGGATGAGGAGGGTGCCCGGGGCTTGGGGAGCACCCCAGGGGCACGGTCCCAGGGAGGGGATGCGGAGGGTGCCCGGGGTGGGGGGCACGGTCCTGGGGGTGGGGTGGGGGGGATGTGGGGCACCCTTGGGATCTCCAGGACGGGGGGGGAGCATCCCCAGCGCACGACCCCAACCCGGAGCAGGTTCACCGAGGGACCCCGGGGGGGGACCGCGCCGCACCTTTGGGATCCCCGAGCGCGCAAAGCGCGGGGCGCGCACCCCGGGGGGGTCCCCGGAGCAGGTTCCCGTTTCCCCCCCCCCATAATTTCGGTACCCACCTCTCTTGCTGCGCCCGATCTGCCCCAGTTTGGGCGGCCTCTTGCCCTGCCCGGCCGCCAGGAGCCCGTCGGGGCCACGGAGGCGCACGGGGAAAGGCAGCTCCCCCCCCGCCGCGCCCCCCGCCAGCTGCCCCTCGCCGTAGGGCGACCCCTCCTCCGCCATCCCCGGGGAGGGGGGGGGGGGACACCCGGCGGCGGGAGGAGGGGGCCCGCTGGTGCCGCCTCCCCCCCCCGACAGCCTCCCGGGGCTCGGGGGGCCCGCGAACCCCCCCGGGGCAGCGGCTCGGCGGAGCGGGGCGACCGCCCCGTCACATCCCGGCCCGCTCCCGGCCCGGTTCTGGCGGCTCCGGGGGCTCCGCGCCGGTGGCACCGGCGGCGGCGGCGATAGAGGAGCGAGGGGCGGGCAGCGGGGCGGAGCGGGGAGCGGCCCCCCCCCGGTACCGGGATAGAGGGAACGCCTCCGGGAGGGGTGGCCCCGGGGGGAGAGGGGATCCCCCGGGGTGCCCCCAAAGCCAGGGGGGGAGCGCGGAGGGTGAGGGGGTGGGGGGTGAGGGGTGAGACCGCCAGGGTGGCTGGGGGTGGTCTGTGGGGTGGCTGGAGATGCACCATAATAATCTGTGGGGAGGCAGGAGATGCCCTATAACAGTCTATGGGGAGCCCGAAGCCACCCTATAACAATCTATAGGAAAACTGGAGCCACCCTATAACCATCTATGGGGAGCCTGGAGATGTCCTATAACAGTCTATGGGGAGACAGGAGATGCCCTATAACAATCTATGGGGAGCCCAGAGATGCCCCATAACAATCTTTGGGGAGCCCGAAGCCACTCTATAACAATCTATAGGAAAACTGGAGCCACCCTATAACCATCTATGGGGAGCCTGGAGCCAGCCTGTAACAATCTACAGGGAGCCCAGAGATGCTCCATAATAATCTATGGGGAGCCCAGAGATGCCCTATAATAATTTATGGGGAGTCTAGAGCTGCTCGATAATAATCTATGCAGAACCAGAGCCACCCCATAACCATCTATGGGAGCCCAGAGCTCTGGGTGGCAGCGGGGACAAAAAAAAATCTATTTGCACAATGCTGGGGCACAACGGGGCGTTTTGGGGCAGGTGAAGGCCGGGGGAACGGGGCTGGGGCTCGCTGCCCCCGTCCCTGTCCCCGTCCCCCTGCGCTGGCAGCGCCACGTGCGAACGCCCCCGACACCCCCGAGCTGCCAGCTCCTTACGTAAGGGAGCGGGGAGCAGCTCCACAACAGGAGGCGAAAGGCAGCGGGGACAGCGCTGCCCCCACCCCAAAAGCTTATTTTTAGGCTCCCCGCATCCCGGGGGGGTGACATCCCCGCGGTCCCCTGGCAGGACAGGGCTGTTTTGGGGTTTGTTTTTTTTGGGGTGCTGCCGCTCGCTGCGCAGGGAAGGGGGCAGCTGGGTGGGAAGAGGCTCCTCGGTGGCTGTGGCTAAAATCCCCGACCCTACAAAGCGGGATCCCGGCTCTGATGCCGAGGTGAGGCGGTTTTAGGGCTGCAGCAGCGTGTGAAGGGCGAGGAGGGGGCAGGAGGCAGCTGCTTTGCTGCTTTTCTCTTTTTTCTGCCTCCTCCTCCCGCAGCAGGCAGGCACTGCCATCTACAGCCCGCCTGCACGCGGCCCTACCCGGCACTGGGGTCCCGCTCTGCTTTTATGGCCGTTGAAGAAGGGGTTTATTTTTTTGGGGGGGTTTCTCCTGGCAGAACCAGGCCAAATGCACCAAAACCCCGCCCGCTGCTCGCCCGTTTTCCTGGCACAAAGCGTTTCCCTTCAAACGAGCCCGAGAGCAGGGTTCAGGCACGCTGGAACCAGAGGGCAAAGTACCAGGGAGAGCAGAGCCCTGCCCCAAACCCCGTGGGGGGGTTCCCCTGATCCTACAGGGGGTGGGGAGGCAGAGGCGGTGCCCTCAGGGCCACGGGGAGGTCACGAGCCGAGCCAAACGCTCCTCTCAGCCACTTTTATTATTTTACAGCCCGTCCCAGCTCCCAGCTCAAGCCTGGCCGCACAAATCCCATTTTCACTTCCTCCTCGTCCCGTCCCGGCGCCGTGAGGAACCCACAAGCGGCAGGAGCGGGGGAAACGCCGCTCCCCTCCTCACAGAAACCCCACTGCTGGCGAAAAACCCCCCCAGAAGCTCTGCAGAAAGCCGTCCTGCTCAGGGGGCGGAGGAGCTGCTGCTAGGTGGCAGTGCTGCCCGCCGGCCGCAGCCTCCCAGCAGCCCTCTCGCAGCTTTCGGGCACCGAATTTTCCCACTTTGGGGTATTTCAGCTGGTTTTGTGTCTCCACGCACACTTTCCTCTGCACCCAGCCAAAGCGCCCCGCTCTGCTCAACCCCCTCCCTCTTCCCCAGCCAGGATTTTCTCCTAAAGAAAACAAAAAAAAAAAAACACACCACAAAACCATCCGCCCCAACCGAAGCAGGACCAGCGAGAAAACCCCCTCGGGGGCTTTAATGCCCCCAAAGCCCCCCCAAAACGCGGGGCTTCAGCTGTTGTAGAGCGGAACCACCCTGGTGATGCGCTGCCGGCAGATGGGGCACGCCTTGGGGTCGGGCAGGGCGCGGTAACACTCGGTGCAGGAGCAGACGTGGCCGCACTCCAGGAAGACGCAGGCCTTGGCGTTGCTCAGGCAAATCACGCAGGCGTTTTTGGGCACCTCCGCGGCGTTTTCGTGCCTCAGCCGCAGCTCCTGGGCCTGCCTGAACTCCTCCTGCAGCTGCTGGAGGCGCCTCCTCTCGCGGCGGTGCCGGTACTGCTTGCGCAGGAGGAAGAAGAGGACGGTGCAGGTGGCGAAACCCGAAAGGAAGGCGAGGATCTTCCAGAGGCGGACGCTGGCCTGCTGCTTCTGCAGCAAGGTGTCGAAATCGGCGCTGCTGAGGTAGTAGCGCAGGCCCTGTTTTGGTGGCTGCAGCTTGACGGTGTCGCTGTCCAGCACCAGCTCCCCCACGCCCGTCAGCAGCGTCCCCACCTTCAGCATCTGCTCGGTCTCCTGGATGCCCTTGGGGCGCTCGCCGCTGATGTAGTGGCCGAGGACGTCGGTGAAGGATTGCACCGAGGGGTGGAATTTCTCGTGCACCGTCTCCAGGCTGAGCTCGGCGGCTTCCAGGGGTTTCATCACCCGCACGGCCACGCCGGCGCCGTCCTCCGGGGGGGCCAGGTCGAAGGGGGCCGTGTTGGTGCGCTGGTGGATCACCTTCTCGTAGTCGTTCCTGGGGGATAAAGCCAGACGGAGAGGCTGGAGGCGCTGACAGACCCCCCCCGATTGGGTTTCCCTGAGGGGCTCCTCTCCTGGGGGTGTGGGTGCCCCATAAAGGGCGGGGGGGGCACGTACCAGAGGTGTGTGGTTCGGTTCCACACCATCTTGTGCTCCTGCAGCGTCAGCCTCTGCACCACGCCGCGGCAATCCTCCACGAACTGGCTGCTCAGGGTGTCCTTCACCGAGCGCACCACGCCTGCAACACAGCCACTGCTCACGGGGGGGGGCCTCGTACACTGGGGGGGGGCACGGGCACCAAAGGGGGCATGGGAACCAAGCCCTTGCACCGTAAGGTGGCAGCTGACACCGTGTAGGGTTGGGGTTTTTAGGGAAAGGAGGGTTTTTTTGGTGAAATGCACGGGGTGGGGAGGTAACAAGTGGGTTGTGGTCATATGGGGGGGGCACGGACACTGAGGGGGGCCGGGGACCAAGTGCTCGCACTTCAAGGCACCACCTGACAGCTGAAGGGGTGGGATTTTTAGGCAAAAAGGTTTTTTTTTGGTAAAACGCATGGGCTAGGGAGGGGTAATGGGGTAGGGGGTTGTCCTCATACAGGGGGGAGCAAAGACACCAAGGGGGGGCTGGGGCACCAAGCCCTCCTGCTGCAGGGCAACACCTGACAGCTGTGAAGTCTGTGTAGGATCGGTTTTTTTAGGAAAAAAGTGTGGTTTTTTTGGTGAAATGCATGGGCTGGAGAGAGGTTATGGGGGCGGGGGGGTCCTCCTCATACAGGGAAGGGGACACTGACTGTGAAGGGGGCTGGGGCACCAAGTGCTCACACTGTGAGGCACTGCCTGACAGCTGTGAGGTGTGCGTAGGGTTGGGATTTTTAGGAAAAAAAGTTTCTTTTCGGTGAAATACATTGGCTGAGGAGAGGTTACGGAGGGGGGGAGTAGTCCTCATACAGGGAAGGGGGCACGGACACTGAGGGGGGCTGGGGCACCAAGTGCTCACACTGCAAGGCACCGTCTGACAGCCAGAGGGGTGGGATTTTTAGGCAAAAAGGGGGCTTTTTGGTAAAATGCGTGGGGTGGGGAGGGGGTGACTTATACGGGGGGGACACAGACACTGAGGGGGGCTGGGCCACCAAGCCCTCACGCTGCGAGGTGGCACCTGATGGCCAGAAGCTGTGTGTAGGACTGGGATTTTTATGAGAAAAATGTTTATTTTCGGGTTGAGGAGTGGAGGGGGGGGGTCAGCAGCCCCTCACCCCCCCCCATCCCCTCCACCCCCCAGCCTCTCTCCTACCTTCAATGACCGCATAGGGCACGCAGCGCCCCGGCGCCTCCAGCAGCACGGCCCGCAGCTCCCCGTCCAGCCGCAGCCTCCTGGCGCCCTGCGGGACGAGAGGAGGAGGAGGAGGAGGAGGAGGAAGGCACCAGGCCGGGGCCTAGCAGCGGAGGAACCAGGCCGCGGCCTAGGCCCGGGACTGGGATTCGGGGCTCGGGGCTTCGCCTTCGGCCCCCGGGGGGTCCCGATACGCACCTGGAGGCCGCGGGCCTGCCGGGCCTTGTGTCGGTAGGCGGAGCACAGCAGCGCCGTGAGCGCGGCGCTGGCCGCCAGCAGCGCGGCCTGCAGGCCCGAGGGCCGCCCGCCGCCATCCATGGCCGCCGTCACCATGGCAACCGGCCCGGCGCGCCTCGATGACGGTAGGGGAGGCGCTCTAGGGAGAGACCATAGAGAGCGCGGTCCTCCGAGAGGGAGAGGGGAGGGGGCGCGGTCCTCCAAAAGGGGGGGGGGGGGACTGACCCTTTTTTTGGGTTGTTTTTGCGGGTTTTTTCTTAGGGGAGGATTAGCCCCAGTCTCAGCCTCGCACTCATAGGGTTTTGGAGGGGGATTAGCCCAAATCCCAGCCCCACTGCGCTTTTTTTGGGGGGGATAATAGCCCAAATCCAAGCCTCCCGCCCTCAGAATTTGGGGTTTTTGAGGTTAAATCCCAACCTCACAGGGATTTTGGGGGGATTAGCCCAAATTCCAGCCACACATCAGTTTTTGGGGGAAGATTAGCCCAAATCCAAGTCTCCCTCCCCCAGAATCTGGGGATTTTTGAGGCTAAATCCCAGCCTCAGAGGGCCTTTGGGGGGATATTAGCCCAAATCCCAGCCCCACAGAACTTTTTTGGGGGGGATTAGCCCAAATCCAAGCCTCCCACCCCCAGAATTTTGTTTTGTTTTGTATTTTTGAGGCTAAATCCCAGCCTCACAGTTTTTTTTTTTTTTTTTTTTTTTTTTGTTGTTTGTTTTCTGTTTTTTGTGGGTTTTTTTTGTTTTTTTTTTTTTTTGTTTTTTTTTTTTGAGGGGGGATTGGCCCAAATCCCACCACACTGCACTTTTGGGGGAAAGATTAGCCCAAATCCAATCCCCCACCCCCAGAATTTAGGGATTTTTGAGGCTAAATCCCAGCCTCATAGGGATTTTTTGAGGGAAGATTAACCCAAATCCCAGCCCCACTGCACTTTTTTGGGGGGGATTAGCCCAAATCGCAGTCCCACAGCACTTTTTTTGGGTGGGGATGAGGCCAAATCCCAGCCACACTGCACTGTTTTGGGGGAGGATTAGTCTAAATCCCAGCCTCACTGGGTTTTCGGGGGAGATTAGCCCAAATTCCAACCTCATAGCACTTTTTTTTTTGGGGGGTGGGTGTAAGGGGTTAGCCCAAATCCCATCCTCACAGTACTTGGGGTGTGGGGGGGGGGTTAGCCTAAGTCCAAGCCTCACAGGGTTTTTGGGGGGGATTTAGCCAAAATTACAGCCTCACAAAGTTTATTGGATAGGGATTAACCCAAACCCTGGTCCCATAGCCCCTTTTTTAGGGGAGTTAACTGAAATCCCAGCCCCACGATGCTTCTTTTTAGAGGGGGGGATTAATCCAAACCTCAGCCCCACAAGGCCTTTGAACGGGGCAGCCCAAATCTACCAGGATTTTGGAGGGGGACAGCCTCACCTCAGCCCCACATTGCTTTTTTTTTTTTGGCAGGGATTAGCCCAAACCCAAACCCCACAAAACCCTGTGGAGGGGGCAGCCAAATGCCAGGCCCTCCAAAGGTAGGGAGGGACCAGGCCAAACCCCGTTTCCCACATTTTTTGGGGGAATAAACATCCCAAACCCCATCCCCACGGTGTGGGGACCCCAGACCCATTTCCCCACATCCCTGCATCCCCCCACCCTCACTGCTGCTCCTGCCAGGGTGGGGGAAGCAGTAACTGGGTGAAAAAATGATAATTTTGGGTACAAAACATCATATTTAGGGCCTCAGGGCTGTGCAGGGCCCCATATTTAAAGCCCCGAGTTGCCATGGCTACACAGAGCATCGCGCACAGGAAAAGCACCCAGGACCCCCCCTGCCTCCCCCCGGGGTGGAAATTTTACCCTGGGAAAGGTAAAAAAATACAAAATAAAAGCGAGTTAAATCCGAATAAACCCCAACAAACCGTCCCGGCCGGGCGCTGCGCTTTTAACTCTTCCTGCCCCATTCCCCAGGCTGGTGAGAGACGAGGCGCCGTCACAGGCAGCAAACGCGCTTTATTTCCACTTTATTTCGGCCGCCAAAATCGGAGGGGGGGGGTCATGGGGTGGCAGCTCCCCCCTGACCCTTTTTTTTATTATTTTCCCAGTGCCACGTTTGCCAGCAAACCCTCTCGTCCAGTGTCCCCGAGGCCCCTTTGGGGCCCCCTCAATGTCCACAAAATGGCGACGCCGATGGGCTCCTTGTCCTGGGGTGGTGGGGGGGGTGGATTTTGGGGATTTTTGGTGGATTTTGCTCAGCACAAGGGGGGGCGAGGGCCACGCAGGCTGCACCCCCGCATCTCCCTGGCCAGCCTCAGCACGGCGGCTCGCTCCCCGAGGCCTTCAGCCCTCGTCCCGCAGCCGGTGCCCATGGCTTCCTCCTCCTCCTCCTCCAGGATGGAGCTGAGGCGCGGGGCGCAGCGGGCGCGCTCGGCCGGCGGGCGGTAGGGACACTTGGCGTTGAGCAGCCTGCGCAGGGGCACCAAGGGGACAATGGCTTCGCCCAGCAGCTGCTGCTGGACGTGGCGGCCGTCGTTCTGCCTCTTGAGCCGCTTGAACTCGTTGAAGGCGGAGGCGGAGGTCTGGAAGAGGAGCAGCGCCATGGCGCGCGCCGTGGCGGCTTTGGGGACCAGGACGGCGTGGCAGCGCAGCACCACCGCCTTGTTCTTCACCTGGTGCCGGTAAACCCAGGCGAAAACCTTGGGGTGCCGCCGGTCGGCGGCGCAGTAGGTGATGCGGTGCAGCAGGTACGCGTGGCCCGGCCGGCGGGCCCCCTTCTCGCCGGGCGCCATGCGGATGCCGTGGGGTCCCAGCGTCAGCTTCATTTTGGCCCCCCCGGCCCCGGCTTCGCTTTTGGCCCAAATCTTGCCCACCGCCTCCTCCGTGCAGCCCTCGCCCTTGGCGTGCAGGGTGACGGCGTTGCCCAGGTAGCGCACGGTGTAGGTCGGGTCCTCCTTGTTCAGCTCCACTTTCTGCCGCCGGCCACCGAAAACGCTGCCCAAGCGCTCCAGCGGGCATTCGGGCAGCAGGTCCGGGCAGGAGCGCAAGAAGCTGGCCAGCAGCGAGGCGTAGCCCAACCCGGGGCCCAAGCTCTTCCCTTTGCACTTACGTTCATTTTCCACCAGCACGAACTTGCTCCGGCGCCAGGGCAGCATCCCCACTGCTCCCCCGCCGTCGTCTCCGGCCGCCGATCGCCTCGCCAGCAAACGGAGGGGCCCCCGATCCCGGCAGCTTGGCTCGGGGGTGTCCCCCCCAGACAGCGGGTGTCCTTTTTTTTTTCTTTTTTTCCCCCAGAAGGATCCCTCGGTGGAGGACGAGGCTCCGGGAGCGAGCAGGCGCCGCGAGAGAGCGAGCGGAGAGCGGTGGCTGCAGGGACGCAGCTCTCCGTGGGCTGCTCCACCTCCCCGCGACGCCGCATCGCGCGGGGAGAGCCGCGGCGCGCACCCCCTGCCAAAACCGTGGAAAGGGAAAAAAAAAAAAATAATAATGGAGATTTCTCCTAGAGATTGGGAAAAAAAAAAAAAAAAAAAAGGATGAAATGCAGCCCACCCCCCCCAACTCCACGCAGACCCCGAGCCGTGCCGGCTGCAGCCCCGCAGGGATGCGCCTCACGGGGTGGGGGATGGAGGCAGAAGGCATGGGAATGATTTTGGGGAGCTTTGGGCACAGCTTCCGAGCCTGTTGCAGGGAAAAAGTGATTTGTTGTTGTTGTTGTTGTCTTTTCTTTCTTTTTTTTCAACAAATCTGGATGTTTAGAGAGGAGTGGGTGCCGGATGAAGGCAGCGGCGCGGGGGACACGGCCACCCCCAGGGTGACACGGTCACAGCAGGGCAGTTTGCAGGCAGTGTGCTGGATTTTGTAGCCCTGCACCCCCTTTTTTTCTCTCTCTCTTTTTTTTTTCTCCCCATTTTTTTTTCCCAGCAAGCCAGCCCAGCCTCCTTGCTGCCGCTCCTGGGTGGAGGTTTGGGCTGTTCACCTGTTGCATTTCCCCCCAGCGGAGGCCTGGGGAAAACTTCTGCCCACAGGATAACAAAAAACGGGGTTCAGGGGGGCTTTTTGGGGACGTTTTGTCTCTGCAGTAGGGTTTGAGGGGTTTGGGGGTTCAGCTCTCACCCTTTCTGTTGTGCCTTCTGTCTGATTTTGACCCCGCAGGGCTCCTGGTGGGGGTGTAGTGGGGAGAACCCCAAAGCTTGGGGGCCCCCAAAAGTCCTCCGCTCACCTTGGGAGCAAAAACGGGGAGGAAAAGGGGGAAAACAGCAGCGCACACCTCCCTTTTTTGCCCACTTCCACTGCCCAGGGAAGCCATTTCCCGGCAGCTTTGCAGCTTTCCTGCGGTGTGAGAGGAAAGCAGCCTTAAAATAGCTGCCTGGCAGGCAGCGCCAGCCCCGGAGCCGTGGAAGCCTTGAAGGTTTTGCAGCCAAAATAATCAAAAATGCATGACTTTGTGTCATTTTTTATTATTATTTTTTTGTTTCAGACGCCAGGGCTGCAGGTCAGTGCGTGCGGTTTGCTCCCAGCGTGAGGATGCTGTTGAGGGCAGGGTAATTAATTAATCGGTGAAAGAAATAGGAATATATAATCCTATATGATTTAGGAAGCAGCTTTCCCCTCCCCGTGCTGCTCCCACGCTGCCTCTGCAAGCTGCTGATGGTTTTCCTTTGATCCACTAGATTTTGGGGACCCCATAATGGGGCAAATGCCTCGGGGCCAAGGCACGGAGCAGAGGAGGAACCCCGCGTCTGGCTGCTCAGCGCCTCGACCGACCGGCCCTGCGAACAGCCAGGAGCCATCAGTAGGCTTCAGAGTGAACAAGCGCCGCGGCGCAGCCCACGGAAAGGGGACTTGGCTGGTTTGCCCCATTTTCAGGGGGGATTCGGGCACGGGAAGAGGGGCTCAGCCACTCGTGGGGGTGCAAATCCTTCCGGATCGCTGGAAAAAAGGGGAAAAAATCGGGTTTTATCGGCAGGAGGCAGCGGGGAGGCTCTGCGGCAGCAGGGCCGGGAGCGCCGGGGAGGCAGACAGGCGGAGGAGATGAAAGCAGCTATTTTAAGCTGCCTTTGGCTGGCGGCCTGGAACACGCCGCCTTGGCGTCTTCTCCCCCAAATCTCCCTTTTTTTTTTGCACAGGGAAGGAGGCGACGTCCTCGGTGCCTCTCGAGGGGAGCGAGCGGCGCTGGGTTTGTTTGTGTTTGGTTGGGTTTTGTTTTTTTTCCCCCTCCACAGGTGTCCAAATCACGATGTTTTCAGCTTGTTGCGTGCATAACTCCTGGTTTGAAGATGCATTCGGCAGGTTTGGGGATTTTTGCTTCCCAGGAGGGACATCAGGCTTGGGCATCTGGTTTTTGGTCTCCTTCCCACCACCCTAATCTCCCACTGGTGGCTTTGCAGGAGGATGGGCAACCCTCACACGAGCCCCCGCAGCTTGGGGCAGCAAATGTTGTGATGAGGCATTGCTCCTTTTGGGGAGAAAGAGCTAAAAAGCCCCTTTTTGGCTTTAGAGAGAAGAGACGGGTCAGGAATGCGTGGGGTTTCTTAGCTTGGGTTTCCTTGCAGCTCTCGGTGCTCCTGCCACCCTCTGCTCTGATCTCCTTTTTTTTTTTTTTTTCTCCTGCATCAAAACCCACAGGGAATTCAGGTGCTGTGCCCCACCTTGGCAAAACGAGTCAGAAACGCTAAATAAGGCCAAAATGCCCCCAAAATCCAGCAAACTGGACAAAACCCCCCACCATAAATCAGCAGGGGCCCCGACGCCCACCCTTGGAGGTGGAAAACTGGGAATTCAGCTCCTCCAGTACGGATAAAAAAGGAGATATCTGTAATTAAAGAGTGATTTGCTCACAGCCCGCCCCCCCCAGCAGGGTCGGGGCTGATTCCCATGAAGGCTCTGGCGTGAAGGTGGCCCCAGCACCCAGCAGCAAATTTGGGTTTGGGGTTCCCAAAGGATGCCACGAGGGCACCCCGATGAACCACTCGATGGCATCTGTGCGCTTTCCTCCTGCTGCATGTCAGGTGTTAATTAAAAGAGGGGGAAAAAAGGGGGGGACAGGGGTAAGAAATGGGGAAACGGGGGAGGACGGACACGATGTTTCAGTTTGAAGCCAATTTTTTTTTTTTTTTTAATTAAAAATTTTTCATTTTTACACCGCAGGAGAGCTTCACAGGACGTCCCCCGTGGGCTCCCGTCACCGGATTCCTGCCGGGGAGGAAGGAAAAGAAGGCGGCGGTGGGAAAACCGCTCGGCGGGAGGAAGGTAAAAAAAAAAAAAAAAACAAAACACGTAGAAAAAGAGGCAGAAATGAGAAAAGGGGCGAAGAGAGGGCTGCGGGTCCCCAGTGCCTCGGGATCGGGGATGCTGCGGGGCACGGGCAGGGCGCGTGCGGGGCGTTATCCCGTCGGGGCAGGGCACCCCGTGCCGCCTCCCGGGAAATCTTTAACCAGGGCGTGCGGCGCAGGCATGGAGGGCAGCGGGGGGCCCCAGGGCGAGCGTCTGCAGCTGCTGCTGCGCCGCTGCCAGGAGGCCAAGGCCTGCGCCTACTGCCCCTACAGCCGCTTCCCCGTGGGCGCCGCGCTGCTCACCGCCGGCGGGGAGATTTTTTCGGGTAAGGCGCCGCCGCACGAAGCTCCGGCGGGTTGGGTTTTTGGGGTTGGGACAGGGTTTGGGGTGTCCCGTCTCGTTCCCATCCTGGTGGTGGGTGTCGTTGCCCGTCCCGGCAGGTGGAAGGGGTGAAAAGTGCGGTGGGTGGTGTGTGGGGGGGGGAATAAAAGGGGAAATATAAAGGAAGGGGAATTGAGGAATGCGTTGGCTGGTGGCCAGGATGGGGCGGGACGCGTGGAAAGGCAGGGAAATGGCAACTTTCTGTGTTCCCAGCATTAAAATTAAAAAAAAATGAGACTTGAGGGGGTGTCCCCAAGCCATAGGGGTGTCCCCAAGCCACGGGGGTGTCCCCGAGCCGTGGGGGTGTCCCCGAGCTGTAGGGGTGAGCGGTGCCGGGTGCTTCCCCGCAGGGTGCAATGTGGAGAACGCCTGCTACAGCCTGGGGGTGTGCGCCGAGCGCACGGCCATCCAGAAAGCCATCTCGGAGGGGCACACTCGCTTCAGGGCCATGGCCATCGCCAGGTGAGGCCGTGATATCCCATGGTGAGGGGCGAGCGGCAGCCCCACAAATCCCCCCACCCCGCTCACCCCATCCCTGAGCCCTGTGCCCGTTCTCTTCCCGGCAGCGACATGGGGACCGACTTCATCGTGCCCTGCGGCGCCTGCAGGCAGGTGATGAGAGAGGTGAGCGTGCCACCGACCCCACAAGTCCCCCCTCAATTCCACCCGGGGCTGTAAGCATGGGCACAGCTGCCCTGGCCCCACCGAACCCCAAAACGGGGCTTTTCCTACAAAAGCAGAGCCCCCATCCTCCCATCCCCGTGGGTAGTTGGTGTTGAACGGGTTTTTGGGGCACCAGGCTTGGGGCGTGGGGGTGAAATGCAGGCTCTGAGCCCCCTGGGGCTGCCCCCAAACAAATTATTGGGGCCACTCGAGCACATCCCCCAGGGGGGTGCAGCTTTGGCATCGGGCACCTCTCCCCCCTCTCCTCCTGCAGTTCGGCAAGGACTGGGACGTCTACCTGACCAAACCCGACGGCACCTACATCGTCAAGACACTGGACGAGCTCCTGCCCCTCTCCTTCGGCCCCGAGGACCTGAAGAAGGTGTGAGGCTGCGTTTTCCCTTTCCAGCATCAGGGGAAAAGGGGGACGGGGCGGATTGCTCCCCAGTTTTCCCCTGGGACGATGCGATGCAAAACGCTTTCCTGGTGTTACAAAGCTCTCTTGTCACTCCCTCTTGATTCAGCGCTGATTTGCGGGTGGGGTGCCGGCCCCACCTCGCCCTGGGGTGCACAGACAGCCAAATCAAACAGTAGAAATTCCCTGATTTTTTTTTTTTTCTGGAAAAAAAAACTCACGCTCGTGAGCACCGAGCTCTGCCCGGGCACCTCTCCGGCTCCAGGAGCAGCTCCACGAAAAGGAGGAGGATTTGGATGCAAAACCAGGGACAAAACGCAGCAATTTCAGCTCTAAATAAGAACAGGAAGCAAAAAACTGCTGCCAGTCCCCAAGGTTCAGCGCAGGGGCAGCTCTGGTGGTGCCACGAGTTGTCACCGGTGTCACCGCCCTAAGCCTCTCCTCCTGCCTGCTTCTCTCCAGCATGTTTCTGCTTGCTTTTCTTCTCTTTGTGGAGACAAAGAAGGAGTTTTGGGAGAGCTCACTGATTAATTATGCAATTAAATTATGCAGAATGGAAAAAAAAAAAAAAAGTGTGTTACTTTAACGAGCCAGGCTGTGCTTTGTGCACCAGTGCCCTCTGCCCTGTGTGTCAATGCACCGGGCACCGATGCACCGCGCACTTTGCACCATTCACTGTGCAACTGCACACCGAGCACCAGCACGTTGTGCACCCATGCACTGTGCACCGTTGTGCTGGGTCTGGCTGGGATGCAGATCACTTTCCCTGCAGCAGCCCGTGCAGTGCTGTGCTCTGCACCTGTAGCTACAGCAGCACTGGGGTCACACCAGCGTTGTGTCTGCTGCTGGGCGGTGCTGGCACAGCACCAGGACGCCCTCCAAGCCAGCAGGCTGCGGGTGGGCAAAGGACAGGGAGGGGATATCAGCAGCACAGCTGTTTGAAACCGACCACAGCTGTACAGCAGCCAGTGCAGCAATGCACCCACCACGCTGCACCAACAAGACATGCACCTATGCACCAACACACCATGCACCAATGTGCTGCACACCAATGCATCATGCACCAACACGCTGTGCACTAATGCACCTTGCAGTAACACACTGTACAGCAACATACTGTGCACTAATGCACAGTGCACCAATGCCCCATGCACTAATGCACTATGCACCACCCCACCATGCACCACCCCGTGCACCACCACACTGTGCACTAATGCACCATGAACTACCACGCTATGCACCAACACACCATGCACCAACGCCCCGTGCACTACCATCCTGTGCACCAACACACCATGCACGAACGCACCGTGCACCACTACCCCGTGCACCAATGCACCATGCACTACCACCCCATGCACTACTGCCTCATGCAGCAATGCACTGTGCAATACCACCCGGTGCACCAACACACTGTGCACTACCACCCTATGCACCACCACCCCATGCACTAATGCACCATGAACTACCACCCCATGCACCAACACACTGTGCACTATCACCCCATGCACCAATGCACTGTGCACTACCACCCTATGCACCAACACACCATGCACTAATGCACCACCACCCCATGCACCAATGCACCATGCACTACCACGCCGTGCACCACCACACCGTGCACCACCAGTGCGTGCACCACCGCCCCGTGCAGAACCGCCCCTTGCAGCACCACCCCCTGCACCTCCCCGTTCCCGCCCCCCGTTCCCGCCATGGCGCTGCGGTTGCTCCTCGCCCGCGCTCTCCGCCTGCTGCCCCGCGGCGCCGCCGCCGCCGCCCCTCACCGCCCCCCCCCGGCCCCGGCCGGCCCCTGGGCTGCCCCCCGGCCTCCCTCTGCCCTTTTTTCGTCTTTCTCCTTCTCCTCCTTCTTCCGTCGCCCCGCGGCCGGGCTGGCGGCTGCGGCTCGGCGGGGCCGCCGCGGGCCCTGCCTGGCCCTGGCGCTGGGGCTGGCGCTGGCCGAGCCGCGGCTGGAGGAGCGGCGCCGGGCTGAGGCGGCCTGTGGGAGCATCCAGGTGGGACGGGGATATTGAGGGGGGATCGGGGCCTTCCTGAGGGGTTTGGGGTTGGGGGGAGCCCGCGGAGTCCTTCTGGAGGCTTCAGGGTTGGGGGGAGCCTCCTGGGGGCTTCCTGAGGGGCTGGGGGTCAGGGGGAGCCCTCAGGAGCCCCTCAGGGCTGGGGGGAGCCCTTGGGGCCCTCCTGGTGGCCTTGGGGCTGAGGGGGAACCCCCTGAGGCCCTCCTGAGGGGCTTGGTGCTGGGGGGAGCCCCTCAGGGCCCTCAGGAAGGGCTGGAGATCAGGGGAGCCCTCAGAGCTCTTCTGGAGGCTTTAGGGTTGGCGGGAGGTCTATGATGGCTTCCTGAGGGGCTTGGGGTCAGGGGGACCCCTCAGGAGCCCCTCAGGGCTGGGGGAAGCCTTTGGGGCCCTCCTGGAGGCTTCAGGGTCGGGGGAGCCCCCTGAGGGGTTTGGTGCTGGGGGGAGCCCTCAGGAACCCCCCAGGGCCCTTAGGAGGGGTTGGGGGTAGGGGGGGAGCCCTCGGAGTCCTCCTGGAGGCTTCAGGGTCAGGGGGAGCCCCCCGAGGCCCTCCTGAGGGGCTTAGGGCTCTGAGGGCTCCCCCCCAACCCCCAGGAGCCCCTCAGGGCCCTCTTGGAAGCCTCAGGGTTTTGGGGAGCCCCCTGAGGGGCTCGGGGCCAGGACCCGGTGGTGTGTGTGTGTGTGTGCAGGGGTCGTGCTGGGTGCTGTCAGCTCACTTTAGGGTTTTCCAGGGGTAAAAGCAGACCTGTGGCCTCCCCACACCCTGGTTGCATCCCACCTTCCTCCACGGGTGCTGCTTTTCTCTGGGGTGCCCCCACCGGGCTTTGGGCTCCCCCAGCCCGTGCTGGGTGTTGCTGCCCCCCTCCACAGCCCCATTCCCCAGCAGGGCCAGGCAGGTGTCAGGGGTGCTCAGGGGCCATATAGCAGCGAGTCTCGCTTTGGGAGCATTCAGTGAGACGTCAGAAAACACTGTTGGTGTTCCAGCCCCGTGAGTGGCTCCTCCTCCCTGTTCCTCTTCCCCTGTACCTGCAGCACCCTTGGGAGGGGCCCCTTTGGTAATGTTTTTTTAAGGGATATCTTGTTTTAGATAAAACCACGCTGTCTGCTGAGCATTTCCCCTGTAGTTACAGTGGTTTATAGTGACCCACTGGGTGTAGATCAGCCCGAGGTCTCCTCGCCCTGAGGGCAGAGATGACATTTAGTGGATTACTGCTGGGATGGCAGCTCAGAGAGTCCCAGCCCGCTCAGGTTGAGCATGAGGTGTCACAAAATGCCTGCTTTGTGCTGTAACCCCAAGGATATTTCTCCGAGCCCCTGTGCTGGCCCTTGCTGCCTCTCTTCTAAAAAAAACTTAATTTCTGTCCTTTTTGTGCTTTCCAGACGGTGTTCATCAGGAAGAACAAGGCGCAGAAAAATCCACTGAGCTCGTTCCGCTGGCGAGGCTTCAGGCTGGAGGAATATCTCATCGGGCAGCCCCTGGGGAAGGGCTGCAGCGCGGCTGTGTACGAGGCAGCTATTCCCTCGCCTCCTGATGGCCAGGGGAGCGGCCGCCTTGCCGGAGAGGGGCCAGCCCTGGGAGAGCAACCCGCAGACAAACCCCAGCAGAAGGAGGCTTTCCCGTTAGCCATCAAAATGATGTGGAACATCTCGGTAAGGAGCCCGATCGTAATCTCCTCCTCTGTCACCTGGGCGAAATGTTTAAGGCTTTAAGCTTTGAAAGCTCTGATTATGTAACTCGGGACGAAGGGGTCAAAACAAAGCTGCTGGTGCTGTGACGCCGGTGGCTGGGGAATGCTCATGGAGCACGTAATTAACGGCTGTTATCCTTCTGGACTCTGTCTCCGTGGTGTTTGAGCTGCTCTTGGGGCAGTTGGTGGTCACGGAGGCAGTGCTGCTGGCAGAAAATGCCTTCTGGAAGCTGGCTGTCGTGAGCTAGGAGGCACTGGAAAAAAAAACAACACTGCTACCAGTGCCCTGGGAGTCTGCTTCCCCGTCAGCAGCAGGACAGAAATAGATTCTCTGTCACAGAGCAGGTGGGAAGTTCAGCACTCACCAGTCCCCTGTGGTGAGGTCAGGCAGGAGCTGTGTCAGTGTTTCCCAGCCCAGGTGACCCACGCCCTCGTCCCCACCATTCCCCACATAAAACAAACGTGCCTTTCACTGAAGGGTGTTTGTGGTGTTGGATGTGATGGGTGGATGTTCTCAAAGAGTTTTCCTCAATGCCAACATCTGGAATCCCGTGGGCTTCATAAGCGCAGGTTCCTTGAGCTTTTTTGGTTGTTTATTTTTTTGTGGTTGAATTAGAGGGTGCATTTAAAGAGCTGAACGGGCTTCTTCCTGCAAGTAGAGGCCTCACCACATCCTCTGATAAATCCTCCGAGCCGTTAATTACCTTCCCTGGCTTCTCAAAGCAGCGAAGGGAGTCCCTTCGTTCTAGCCCACAATTTAACTTCATTCAGGCACAGCGCCAGCCGGATGATCTGCTCTGGGGGTGGGGTGATTTGGGAGCCAAGGCTTTGCCCCCAGCGTGCTGTGACCTTGTTGCAGGCTGGTTCTTCGAGTGAAGCCATCCTTGACGCCATGGGCCGTGAGCTCGTTCCAGCCACCCGGACCGCCTTAGCCGGAGAATACGGAGCTGTCTCGTGCCGCAGGTAGGGTAGCTGTGGAAGTGGCAGCAGTGCTCACAGCTCCGCGTGCTCATTTCACCCGTCTTCCTCCGTCAGTTTCCCTTGCAGCACCTCAGTACTGGGGAGGAGGCAGCCAGAGGTTTCTGTAATAGTTCTTGGGAATAAGTGAACACAAAAGTTTGCGGTTAGTTGATGCACGTGTTTGTTTTTATCCATGTGGTGATGCTTTCACAAGTGCCTCAGACAAATGTCAGGCAGGAGCGTGCTTCTGGCTGTCCTGGAGGTTTCCCTCTGGCACGGTGAGGGAACAGACTAGCAGTGCTGCCATTCAAAGAGTAATTTCACAGCCTGGTTTTCTTTGAGGAGCAGTGCTGTGTCACGGCTCTGCGCTTCCCTCCGGGCTTGATGGCTTAGGCTAGACGGGTGTCAAAAGGGTTGGCGTTTGTGAAGACACAACCACAAAGGGATTACATGAAGGTGCTTCTGTTTGGCACCGAAGTTAGGGGCGTGTCTGCCCAAATCTAACTTGGTTTGATTTGCTCACACAGACACACACATTTGCATAATATACTCGTAATCATCAGTTATCTTCATATTCATTGGATAAATGTGTATTCCATCTTCTATAATCACAGCCCCTTTATTCATCTGATTGGTCCCTTTACTAATCTCCAGTTACCTTTTTCAGTCACTTCAGATATTTTACTGATTACGCTGGATTTCAATGGTATTTCCCTTAGCTTCCAAACTGTTCACCTAGCAAAAATCTCCCAAATACCCGTAATATTTATCCAAACTATCTTTTGTTTAGATCAAATAAGCATTTATGGTTTGCATTACTAGTAGCAGTGCTGGTTTCACTACCAAGCCACCTGTTGCTGTGTTAACATTGACCACCAAAAGGATGGGGGTGGT